GGAGGCGAAGAGGATTGCACTAATTTTTTGGTTTATTATCACATTCTTATAGATATTTCTGGTGTATTGCAATGTATGTCTATTTTTTGAAGTTGATGCAGTTCTCTTTGATAATGAACGTGAGTATTTTGTATGGTTTTATCTATTAACTGCTATGAATTAGAGTATTATCGTTTCATTTCAATGGGTCTATTTTGTATAGAATTTTTTTTAACTTTTTACACGTTGATCCCCGGAATGAAAATTCTTGGATCCGCCACTGTATATATGGTTTTTGTTCTCTACATGATGATAATCCAACTGCAAGATATATACACAAATTCTAAAAAGATCATACAATTAAGCTCAACGACCTCAATTACTTCTCTTGGGTTGCTCATGTCAGCAAATTTCCCTTCGCAGTCCAACCAACAATCTCAACTTACTTAATCCCAATTAAGCGCCTGAGTATTGCCTTTATATTGTCCAAACATGAAGATTAAAGATAATTAACTTATAAGAAAGACCCTACTCCCAAGTCTTCCACCCCCATTTGCTTATTTAAATTTAAAGTTTTGTTGCTGGTTTAATTGTATTCTAACTTTGACTTATTAAGTCCCTACTAGCAGAAAAAGATAATACTTGGGTGGATGGTGAGGACCTTCTCATGCTTTTTTTACATCCAATAATATTGTTGAAATTGGCACTTAGGTGACGAGGGGTAAATTAAATGACACAAACACAACCACAACAAGCTTCACACACTTTAGACCTTGACCAAAACACTTATGACTAGTCAACTGCTAGTCATGAACACGCACAATCAAGAATACACACAGAGCATGCCACAATGTACCTGCAACCCTAGAAAAATACTAGTGACAACCTAGGCACTCAGAAGGATCCGTCAATCTAGGCATCCCCTGTGCTAGCAACAACTATGGTGGAAGTGTGTGAAAATATTATAATCAAGTAAATACCAAACATCAGATAATGATGACTAGTCAACCACCAAGAACACAAACCCAGAAAAATTACAGATATGCAAACCAGATTTTGTTCACCCAGAAACCCACTATTGGGAAAAACTGGAGGTCATCAACCGACCAGGCAATCCACTAAGTAGAAAAAGATTCTTACAAAGGAATACAAGCAAGCTCAAGCAAAACCTAAATCTATTTAGAAAGATGAGCTATACCTCGTTTGTGCAATCTTCTTCTCCAACTTAGCAAAGCTTGAAGCTCAGTTCTTCATGGCAATGGCAGCTCCTTCTCCAGCTCGTTCATCCCATGGCACTAGCTTGCAAGCTCCAACTCAAATAGAAACCAAATTTGGATTCAAAGGAGAATGACCAATTTCTTCAAGAAACCATAGTCTTGAAGAAATCAATCTTGAATCTGACCCAGATATATTTATGAGAGAGTGTTTGATCTAGCAAGATGAGGTTTTCATATTTCAAATGCAGTTTTCAAAAAGAAACAATTTGGAAAACTCAAAGATCAAAAATATGAAGATGGCTCTTGAGGAAGAAGCGAAAGTTTACAAAGAAACTTTCCAAAACTTGCCTACCCAAGTGACGGCTGCCAATTGAGGAATGCATTGCCTTTTACACAAAAATTCATAGGTTAGAATCGTACAAGGCAGCAGGGAATTTCGCAGAATATGACAAAATAGATGGGTAGAGTCAGCTGGAAACAATGAGCTGGAAATCTCACTGAGGCAGAGGTTGACTAGTCATACAAAGGAAAGATGACTAGTCATAATCTTCAAAAGTTAGAAAATGCAATGCAAGATTTACCTTTTGTCGAACCCATTGTTGTCCATCATAATGTAGCCAAATAAGCATACCTAGAGATGTAATTCTTAATCTAAATTAGAGCTTGAGAAAATATAATGATTGTCCTATTACAAAATTGTCAAGGGAAGCCAAAAGAAATACTCAAAATGCATACATTAACAATTGTTACACGTGTTTGTATATGAAAAATAAAAGAAGTATTTGCATTTAGATGACTTTGACTTATAAATCCACAATATATCGCTCACCTCACTTGGCTCAGGTTATTGGTGCACCTTGGTAGGTAGACATTTCATCAAACACATTACTTTTTTTGTATTATTATTATTTATTATTTTTTATAATAAAAAAAAGCGAATAATTTTTTTTAATAAAAAATTCTAAAAAATTACCAAAAATTCAGAATTTTTTTAATACATACTTAGCAAATTTGTTTATATTAATCTCATATATATATAAATAAAATTAATTTCATATGAATAGTAATTGTCCTTAAGTTGCCATGACAATTGGTGAAAAAACACACATAAAATTGCTAAGACAATTATTATTCATGTAAACAGTAACTACTCTTACTTGAATAGTTTTTATATATTATGTCATACTAAAATGAGTTTTTGAATAAATATATCAAAAAGATTAGGAGGCAATTTTGAAACTACCCTATTAATTGACCATGTGGCCACTGGCCTCTATCATTAATTGGATAACATATGACGAAAAGCTATGACGTATGTCACTTATCTAAGCAACAACCTTATATGCCCAGCTGGCAAAATATTAATTGGGCGCACCGCTAGCTAATATGGACGAGACTTGTTGACCTATCCTTGATATTATGACAAAATATTAATATAGCGCTATCCTTTCCTTTCGTTGGATGGGACTTGTTGACCTTTCTATTAAATAACACCATGATTGGGACAAACAAACAAAACAAATTAGAGGGCAATTTTGAAACTACTCTATTAATTAACCATGTGGGTGTGGCCATTGGCCTCTATGATTAATAGGGTAACTTATGACGAAAAGCTATGATGTATATCACTTACCAAGGAAGAAAATGGCCACATGCATACACCTGTTTCTCACTGTAAAATATACACCTCAATTAGCTGAGCTTCCTCGACTGGTTCACTCATCTCAGCACCCTCATTGACGCCATTCCAGTTTCAGATCCGGTCCCGACTCCTGAGCTGTGGTCAACGCAGCGATTACCCGTGGGTAACAGCAGTTTCAAAGATAAGCTGATGCACAAAGTTAACCAGGTAAAAAATGCAGGTATTGACGTTGATGCTCTTGATGACAATTATGCCGATCTAAATGATGAAGATGATGTGGTGGTTTCTCGGGGTGAGCGCGGACCCAGTATCCATTTCTCTGAGCGAGCGATGGGGCGCCTATGTCAGCCATGGAAGAATGCTTTAATTGTAAAACTGCTAGGACGGTCGCACACTTATAACTACCTCCACGACCGTCTACAACAAAAATGGAATTTGAAAGGTAATTGGAAACTAGTGGATCTAGTAAATGACTATTTCGTAGTGAAATTTGAACTAGAGGAGGACTTGAGCTACGTTCTGACTGGGGGACCATGGATTATTGCTGGGCAGTATTTGATTTTACAGAAGTGGAGACCAGGATTTTGCCCTTTGACTGCCCATGTCTCTAGAATGGCGGCTTGGATCAGGGTCTCGGCTATCCAACTCGAGTGCTTTGATGTTTGGGCGCTAAAGAGGATAGGTAATCTGCTTGGCAAATTGCTCAAAATTGATACTTTGACTACGACTCAAAATAGAGGTAAATTTGCTCGGCTCTGTGTGGAGCTGGACCTCACGAAACCGCTTGAGGCGTTCATCCAAATTTACCAAGAGTGGTACAACATAGAGTATGAAGGTCTCCCCGACATTTGCTATCTGTGTGGCCTTTATGGGCATAAAAGGGAAAACTGTCCTTCGCAGGTGAAGAATGCTACAGGCAACGCTAAGACTGTCCCTGTCCCTGCTACAGCCGCTAAGGAAGTGGGTACTGATACAGTTATGGGTCAGGAGGGGATTAGTACAGATCCAGAAATTCTTCGCGGGCCTTGGATGAATGTCCCACCTAGGAGGAAACCAAAGAATAATTCCAAGGGTGTGAGCAACACAGTTTCGAGCCACAAGAGCCAAGGCTCTCGGTTTACTACTCTGCAACAAATCACTGAGGATTTCAGATTGGACCAGACTGACAGTGGTGGGGGGGCATTTCAGGAGAATGCAGAGACATCTTATGCTTCTAAAAATGGTACTGGAGTTGGAAACAAAGTCTGGAGTAAGGCTAAGCACCCTAATGCTGGAGCCAGGACTGTTCTTAGTGACATCTCTAATAGTAAAAATAATGCTAAGGCCACGGCATCAAGAACTACTAGCGCTACAGCCACTATGGCTCCCAATGGATTCCATATACATAGTAGTAGTGCTAAGGGGAAATTGGTTGTTGATGAGAGCAGGACCCATTGTTTGACTTCTACAATTGGCCACATGAACTCCTGGGGCAACGGCCAAAGCTTGTATAAGCAAAAAGGTGTCTATATATTTGGACACCAACCTCCAAATATAACTGGAGACCTTCATGGCAAACCTTGTGACTCTGAGGTTGTTGAAGATCCTGCGGAAGCTCCCCTCCAAGATGGATTGAACCCTACTGATGGGACTAATCTGGATGAAGTTCAGATGTCTGATTGCAATAAGAATGCTGATAAGAGTACCTCCAACAACGTTGAAGGTATGACTCTCGACTGCTGATGTTAGGGCTTTGTCCCTGGGTTATTATTATTTTTTATCCCTTGTTGTTAATGGATATTCTGTGTTGGAATGCTAGAGGTGCAGCTTGCACTAAATTCAGATATACTATGATGGAACTAATCCATGTTCATCACGTTGATATTTTGTTTGTTTGTGAACCTCGTATTGGAGGTAAAAAAGCCCTTGAAGTTATTAAATCTTTGAAGTATTCCTGCACTGAGGTGGTGGATCCCATTGGTTTTTCTGGTGGTCTGTGGCTTTTATGGAATGAGAATAAAGTCAAAGTTGAAGTCCTTGGTACAACTGACCAAACTATCTCTGCTTCTATTGCCTAGCCTGGCCAGAATCCTTGGCTTTTTACTGCAATCTATGCTAAGCCTTGTAACTCCAAGAGAGAAAAGCTTTGGGATTATTTGAATTTTGTCTCTGATTGTCACCAGATGCCGTGGCTGCTTGCTGGAGATTTCAATGATATGCTACATTATGATGATAAAATAGGGGGTGCCTCCCCCTGTAGGCTTAAAGGCTTCAGGAAATGGTTTGATGATAATGACATGATTGATCTTGGTTTTTCTGGACCCAAATTTACTTGGAGTAATAATCGGGTTTTTGAAAGACTTGACCGTGCAGTCTGTAATGTCCAGTGGAGAAGTCTCTTTAACGAGGCCTCTGTCAAGCATTTACCGAGGACCAAGTCTGACCACTGCCCTATCAAGATAAGCCTGAAGTCCAGCTTCTCTTCCTCTCCTATCGCACGGCCTTTCCGGTTTGAGGCCATGTGGCTAACTCATGCTCACTTTAAGGACTTTCTCATGCAGCAATGGGCGCTTACTGATGGCTCTGTCCTTGATAAAACTAATGCCTTGGTGCAGCCTCTTTTACATTGGAATTCTACTATTTTTGGTAACTTAAGGCGCAGGAAATCTACACTTTTAGCTCGCCTGGCTGGTGTACAGAACGCTATGGGTCCAAACACAAACCGTTTCTTGTCCAAGCTTGAGAACTCCCTTTTTGAAGAGTACAATGAAGTCATTGAGCAAGAGTCCTTGTTCTGGCAACAAAAATCTCGAGTAAAGTGGCTGCAAGAAGGTGATAGGAATACCAAGTTTTTCCACCTCACTACTTTAATAAGAAGAAGAAGAAATAAAATAGAGAGACTGAAGGATGATAATGGGGAGTGGATTGAAGGTGCTGGGGGTCTCAAGAAGCTAGCTGTTAGCTATTTTGTGGGCCTGTTTACCCAGGACCAGCAGTGCTGCACCTTTGGGGACCTCCCTAGTTTCTTCCCTCCTATTGAGGCTGCTGACTTGGCTAACCTTGCCAAAAACGTGGATCTTATTGAAGTAAAAGTGAGTTTATTTAACATTGGTGGCCTCAAAGCCCCTGGTGTTGATGGGTTCCCAGCTTGTTTCTTCCAAAACCAGTGGCATCTTTGTGGGAATGAAATCTACAATTTGGTTGACCAAGCTTTCCGGGATAGCAAACTTCCTGAAGGTTTAAACTCTACCTTGATCACTATGGTTCCTAAAGTTGATAATCCTTCTTCCATGGGGCAATTCAGGCCCATTAGCCTTTGCTGTACTTTATATAAAACCATTTCCAAGGTGCTGGTGGCTAGACTAAGACCTATCTTGCCAGGTTTGATTAGCCCCAATCAAGTCAGTTTTGTTCCTGGGAGACACATTTCTGACAACATTATTATTGCTCAAGAATTAATGCACAAGTTCAGAAATGCAAAAGGGAAAAAAGGATTTATTGCTTGGAAGATCGATCTCTCTAAAGCTTATGACAGATTGAATTGGAGTTATATTGAGTTTGTCCTCAATGAGCTTGGCCTGCCTCCTTCGACTGTACAATTAATAATGCATTGTGTTTCCTCTGTCCAGTACCAGGTTTTTAAGAAGCCAAGAATCAAAGTCAACCATTGGGAAATTAGGAGCCTCAACATCCTCCCAAAAATCCTTCCCAATTAATTGAGTAGTAGTGCAATCAATAAACAGATGATCAAGGGATTCCACATGAGAGGAGCACCTCGGACAGGAAGTGTCCTGACCAATCCCCCTCTTCTGTCTTTGAACATTGGTAAGAAGTTTCTTATGACAAAGAACCCAAAGGAAGGTTTTAATTCTAATAGGAATGTGAAGCTTCCAAATAAAGTTCCAAGACCACGTCAAAGGATCATCATTAATGGTGGAAATGTCATAGGCTGTTTTAACAGAAAACTTACCATTAGTAGTGAGATTCCAGATGCATCTATCAGGACCACTGTCTTGAAAACCAGCATGCACACAAAGGATCAAGTGGACAATATGAGCAGGCAGACGCTCCAGTAAGCAATTAACATTCCATGTGTTGTCTGCAAAAAAGTCACTAACCTTAAGAAGGAGCATATCTTCAGAAATGTCAATAGTAGCATATTGGATCAAAGGCCCACAGCTAAGCCAATTATCAGTCCAGAATCTGATAGTATCACCAGAACCCACCCTCCATTTGGTACCATGAGGAATAATCTGAGCACCAAAGAGGATACCCCTCCACGCACTAGAGCTACAAGAAGTATAGCTATCATTGGCAGCCAGAATATCACAATTCCTGAGATATTTGGCTTTAAACACTTGAGCCCAGAGACCATGATCATCTTGATGCAGTCTCCAAGCATTTTTAGCCAGTAAGGCCTTATTCATCAAGGCAGCACTTTTTAGACCCAAACCACCAGTGGCTTTTGGATTACAAACAGTCTTCCAATTGACTAAGTGAACCTTGGCCTTATCATCAGTATGACCCCAAAGAAAGTTCCGGTTCAACTGGTCAAGCTTGTTACACACCGACATAGGCAATTGAGCAGTTTGCATAGTGTAGATAGGGATGGCTGAGGTGACAGATTGCACTAAGGTAATTCTGCCAGCCATGGATAGAGTGTGACTCTTCCAGGAAGAGAGCCTTTTCTGGACTTTATCAAGGATCTCATGATAAGTGTCTTTAGTAACTCTTTTATGGATAAGAGGAACTCCAAGGTACTTACCAAGACAATCGGTAAGGGGGGACCCACTAATGGTAGCAATAGAATGAGCCAAATCAGCAGAAACGTTAGGAGAGACACAAATAACAGACTTTTCAAAGCTCACCCTTTGGCCAGAGAGATGACAAAACTCATCCAAGCAGTTCTTCATTAAAAAAGCTTGATTAGTGGAAGCTTTACCAAACAAAATAAGGTCATCAGCAAAGAAAAGGTGGGAGATAAAGGGTCCACCCCGACTAACCTGAAGAGGCTTCCAGTCATGATCATGAATCTTCTTTTGGATGATATGAGAAAGCTTTTCCATGCATAAAACAAAGATGTAGGGAGAAAGAGGATCTCCTTGACGAATGCCACAAGTAGGAGAGAAAGCAGCTGTTAATTCACCATTAAGGATAGCTTTATAATCCACAGAGTTGATACATTGCATTATAAGAATAGGATTAAGGATAGCTTTATAAGAATAGGATTAAGGATAGCTATCCTTTCCTTTCGTTGGATGGGACTTGTTGACCTTTCTATTAAATAACACCATGATTGGGACAAACAAACAAAACAAATTAGAGGGCAATTTTGAAACTACTCTATTAATTAACCATGTGGGTGTGGCCATTGGCCTCTATGATTAATAGGGTAACTTATGACGAAAAGCTATGATGTATATCACTTACCAAGGAAGAAAATGGCCACATGCATACACCTGTTTCTCACTGTAAAATATACACCTCAATTAGCTGAGCTTCCTCGACTGGTTCACTCATCTCAGCACCCTCTCTATCTAACACACATTAGTCTATTAGTTTGTATTCCAACGTCAACGAAGGGATAATTAACAAAGACTACTTAAACAACTTCTCTTCTTTTTTCTTTATTTTTTAAGTCCAATTCTTTGCATCCAGTCTTAATGCGCACACATTTCTTTTTACTAATTAACACATGGAATATGTGGAAATAAATATCACATTGTCTAGTCTTCCTTATTTCTTCAAACTGTTCAAATAAGACCCTTCAAAATTTCACAATTTAACCAAAAATCATAAGGTTCCCTCCCAAGTTGAAAAACCATTATTGTAGAACAGATCATTAAGCGTATTTCAACTTACTGCGAATGATTTCTCAAGACACCTTTTCTTATTCATTTCTGGCTCCATACAGTCATACATAAATTGTGAAAACATAAATCTGATCGATACAGACTCATTATATACAGGAAGAAAATTAAACACATATATGCAAATCAAATTCATACGATGGCCCAAGCCACTGAAAAAGCGCAACAAGTATCAGCTAGCGAGGGTGAATGGCATAGTATGTTTGTATGACAGTTAGAACGAAAAGGCAAAGTGCAGCAATGAAAGATATAAAGCTCCATGCAGTTGAGAAATAAGTGCGATAGAGGGACTTCAAACGTCTGCGAAACCAGAACTTACGAGCGTACGCATTCACTTGGTTGCACAAGTCAGCAAAATAGAAGTCCTTGACAACAACCTCATCTAGAATACTGTGACATTGAGCCAAATATACTTCATCGTCAATCCAACTGGAATTTATGATCCTTCTTTGCCGAAGTATTTTGATGTCCTTTGAGGAACGGATTAGGCTTTTCAGGAGGATGGGATATGAGGTGATGTGATTACTGCTGATGGTGCACTGCTCGTAGGCAATCAGGTTTCTCAAGAGTGAAATATTGTCGTCTATGAACAATGATGGGATTCTCATCACTCCCTCGCTGAAAGTTACGTTCAGCAAGTGGTTCTCGCTTGACTGTCTTTCAATCTCGATCCCAGATTCCAAAAGTTGTGAAGCGCAAAAATCGAATCCCCAATTGTTATAGCTTCCACTTCCAGGGATATCAATATTGGTGATGTTGATAATTGAGGAATCACCAGCCACAGCAGGGTGCTGCTTATTATTAGTACTCTTAGGCTGAATTGGGAGATAGAATTTGTGCAAGAGATCAAGCAAATGCTTGTAGCCCTCTGTACCGCCAGGAGGATCATCAACTCCTTTTACAATTGCCTTTCGGTTCTTCATAGCTGCTGGTTCAAAGAAATGAAGAGCAAGGCTAGTGAGCGAGTTCGGTGCTGGTTTGACGTTGGCCTTGAGATGAGGCTTGATAGCCTCAAACAGAGTTTGGAGAATAAAAAAGGGGATCTGGTTTTCAACTAAGGCTAGATCCTGGCGAAGTGCTGGAATTATCCAGATAGTATTGAATATTGGGTCATCAGATTGCTCTTCTAACATCATGTTTAAGTTGTAGTGTTGATAATACCTGAGGAAAAGTTCCATTATGAAGAAGCCATCACGTACTTCTTGAAGTTCCATGATGTAGTCCCTGTTGCTTCCAACGTAGCTCCGAAGTATCGTCTTGGGTAAGCCATAACGGAAAAATTTTGCAAAACTGTCACAGGACAAATGTTTAAAACTCGAACAGGACGTGGCAGACTCGTTCAAACGCTTCTCAAAGAATCTCCCGTAACGATCTTTATGCTCTTGCATAGCTGCAAGCTCAAGCTTGTCCCGATGGTAAATCCCAATTGAGACAAGGCGAGGGCTATAGGCATCCTCCTTCACTTTTCGAAGTTTATTTGGAACTATAAAGATGTTCGATGCCCCTGACGCTTTCTCCACCTTGTCATAGCACTGTTGCACATATCTTGCTTCCGTTTCCTGTTTTGATTGTAAAATGTATAAAGCTAGCTAGCAGTGCACACATCTACTTTCAGCATCACTATTTTTGCAAATATGTATGTATTAAATAACATATACATATATGGTTTTTGTTCTCTACATGATGATAACCCAACTGCAAGATATATACACAAAATCTAAAGAGATCATACAATTAAGCTCAACGACCTCAATTACCTCTCCTGAGTTGCTCATGTTAGCGGATTTCCCTTCGCCGTCCAACCTCCAATCTTAGCTTACTTAATCCCAATTAAGCGCCTGAGTATTGCCTTTATATTGTCCAAATATGAAGATTAAAGATAATTAACTTATAAGAAAGACCCTACTCCCAAGTCTTCCTTATTAAGTCCCTACTAGCAGAAAAAGAATAATACTTGGGTGGTTCGTGAGGACCTTCCCATGCTTACATCCAATAATATTGTTACACGTGTTTCTCAAGGCCTTTCAAACCGCCTCGCCATATATATGTGTTGTGTTGGCCTGTCTAATTTCCACGAGCAAACAACTAGAAAGAAAACAAAAGTAAAGTTTTTTAAGTTAGTCTTTGTTAAATTCCCTTACCCCTTTTTTTTTTACGATTGTTAAATTACCCCTCCGTTGACGTTGGGAATACAAACAATTTTGTACTACATGCTTCCCGAGGGACAGAAGATTGCCTTTGAAGATAAAGTACAATAAAGAAAGACTCTACCTCCCATCATCCCCATATAAAATCAATTTATTTATTTATTTATTTATTTAAGCTTTAGTAAAATGTTGTTATAGAACCTTCCAAAAAGAAGACTTCAACAATTTACACAGTCAATAATATTGGGAACCACGCTATGTGGTTTACTAACAATAATACCAAGCTCACCAAAAATACTCATTACATTTTATCATCATATTATGTGTAAATATTCACCAAAAAATAAATTTATGAGTAAAAATACATATACAATATCTTTAAAATAAAAATACAAAAAGGAGCTCCAAGTGAGTCGAGTTAGAATTTGTTAATATTTTACACGAATTTAATAAATGACTTCTCTTGTTAATAGTTGGTTTTTTTAAGGCGTGATGTCTACTCAGTTGTGAAGATGTAAAAAATTCTTAAGTGAACATATAATTGTTAATAGTTGGTTTTTTAATTCTTCGTTAGAGATACAGAAAAATTAGATAGGAGAAAGAAGGCAACAACCAAACGCTGAGAATTTCCTAAACAAGGGCCCAAACGCTGACCTTCACAAATCGCAAGTACAACTCTACATGGTCAGCCATACCCATAGAGGAGATGTCATACCGATCAAGAAAAGGTATATAATTAATCCCTTATATAAGAAAAACAAGTAGCAATTTATATAATTTATTCTACGAACCAAAAAACAAAAAAAATATATATATAGATATTTTTTTTTGTACCAAACATGCATTTGTTTGTATGCCATACTGACCTCAATGGAGGACACAGCTTTATTTTTATACTGTAAACAATTGCTTCCTCAAGGAAAAATGAACACTGCTTTGTTTTTTCCTTTTCCTTTTAAATCCTGTTCAATGATTAAAGTGTTGCTATTTTTTCTTTCAGTTTTTTTATATTATAACATAATCTAGTACGGTTTTAGAGTTTAAAGCTCATATGGATTTATACGATTCATTATATGTAGTATGGTTCAATTAAAATGGTTCACATTGTATAGGGCTTAGAGCTTAATGAATTTTTATTTTTTGTTGCCAAAGTTAGGAAGGGTGAGGGGGAAAACTCACACACATGGGTACCATGGGGGTTTGAACTCATGACCACTTGGGAGCACACTAAAGGCTTGGCAAATCCAACTAACACCCCATTAGTTCGGCCACTCCAAATAGAAACTTTGAGTTAGCTTGAAGTGCACCTCGATTTTAGGTATCAACCAATGTTTTAACCAATTTTGTTCACTATTCTACCATATCGATCTAAACCAAGTAATTTTTCTAGTGACTTTCATAAAAGCTTCAAAATTGTTATGTTGTTTCGAAAAAGACTTGTGGTACTTGAGATTGAAAATCAAATAGAAATTATATAAATGTATAATTCCTTTTCGTTATGTAATTAACTTCATTTCACTACAACTTGTGTTTCATGAATCATATGCATATTGACATAGATGTTTTTTTTTAAAGGTCGGTGTGTTAAAAATATCAAATAAAACTCGTGACGATATGACTGACATAAGGCTACATGACAATATGACTGACATAAGGCTCTCCTTTCACAATGACCCGTTTATTTTTGTTTTAAAGAATGACCAAAAACCTTTAATATATTCATCCGCCTGTTTGACTCGTATGGACGTGCTCATAAGTATAAATTTAATTTCGTGTATGTATAACAGCTAAAACTTGGCTAGGGTAGAGTTGATTAACTTTCATTTCCTCATACCTGAAGGTCAATTGAGTTAATATTATGCCCCATTTGGTTCACGGAATGGATTTGAGGGGAAATCACTTCCCATGTCATTTCCCAAGGAATGGGAATGAAAGATTCATTTCCCATGTTTGGTAATGTTGGGAAAGTAACCGGGAGATTTCACTCTGTTTCCTTTCCCATGTTTGTTTTGAGTAGGAATGGAAAACAAAGTTTGTGTAATTTTTCAATTATACCCATATTAAATCAAATAAAAAATTAATGCATTTAATGATACGTTGTAATTATAAATTGTTCATAGGGACAAAATAGTCATGAAAATTGTGCATTGAATGTTGTCTCATTTTCCCAAACTTTCCCATGATGAGGGAAAACAAAACCCAAGTTAAGAGGAAGGCTTCACTTTCCCCCCTACTTTCCCATGTGCCAGGCAACCATTTCTCATGCCTGGACTTACCAAACATGAGAAAGCAATTGAATTCCCATTCCCAAACCTCCTTTCCCATAAAACAAACGGGCCTTATTGCCTTTAGTTAACTTGTAGACCAACTCTGAAGATAAAATAATATAAGAAAAGAAGACTACTTACATCCGCACGTTAAGCCTTTAATATATTTGCAATAAACATATATTTACTTTGCCTTTCACAGCGCCAGAGTCTCCACTTATGGCATATTTACTAATCAGGAATTGGAATTCTCATCAGGAATTGAATTCCAGGTGGTATTCTAATTCCTGGAGAATTCACCCATTAGGAATTCATCTTTTTTACCCATTATATTCTCACACAATTTTCAAAATTCCAAATACGCCATCTACTTTAACCAAAAAATGAGGACATTTTAGTAATTAGTACCACTTTTACCCCAATTCCATATGATTTAGTAAACAACTTCAATATGAATTCGGAATCTAACTCCCCTCAATCCATATGGTTTAGTAAACAACTTCATTAGGAATCCGGAATCTAATTCTCCTCAATCCAACTCCTCCTCAATTCAATTCATCCTCAATTTAATTCCCCCTAATTCAATTCCGGATTAGTAAACATGCCATTATTTAATTTATAAGGCGACTTAGTCTTTACTTAAATGTATAATTTATCTGATTCATATTTAACTGTCTCTCTCTTCTGTTTTGGTGCTTACAGTTTGTAAGGCTTCCCAGCAATCATCAAATCAGCCTCACCTCGACGAATGTGATTTGCAGCAGTATAGGAACAGTAATTTGAAGTAGCGTACACAACTTTCTACCTCCTCCCATAGATTTCGTTTGAAAACCATTTGAATTTTCAGTTTCATATAAAACTTATTTGCTAACTACTTTCAATTTTCGTTTAATAACCATTTTATTTTTCATTTTTATATTTTATATTTTTCTATTTAACATAAAACTTTTTGGCTAAATGATTTCAATTTTCAAATTAAAGAAGTGAAAATTGTTCAAAAGTTGATTTCTCATTTTTTATTTTATGTGAAAATTGAAAATGATTTTTTTTTTTTTTTTTGTGTGGTCAAATTGTTTGAGGTCATATAAGAGCATGTCCACCGCTAGCAGCAAACCGGGCAAAAGGCCCCCCTTGAGAGCCCAAGGCAGCTCCAGCACTGCAGCCTCCAGCCTGGTTTGGCGTGGGTCCCACCAGCCCGGGGCAAGCCCAAGGGCAGGTTTCGCCTGGGCTTCAGCCCGAGTTTTGTGACGTCAACAAGCAAAAAAATATTTAAAAAATCCAAAAAATTATAGATGCTTTCTCTATACATACATAACAATTTTATTCACTTTCTAAATTGTTTAAATTGTTTATATTTTGTTGCATAATCTTTTTTTCCTTTCTTGCCCTTGCCCTAGCCTTTTGGGATGGATTCTTGCCCTAGACTTAGCCCTCATGGGTGGAACCAGAAATGGCAAGGCTGACACTATTCATGTGAATACTGGCAGCTTTTGCTTGCCCTTGCCCTAGACTTAGCCCTTATGGGTGGACATGCTCTAATGAAAGTGCATATTACAAAGAGACCGTAGCATTTTTTTTGTGAATTTTTAAGAGTTATGAGGTATTTATGAAGAATTTTGGATCTGAAGGTCCTGAGGTTCAGACTCAATCTAAGGCTAAACCCGGGCTGCAGAGTCCAAGCTAGGGGTTCAAAAAAAGTGAAAAGAAAAAAAAAACTGTTTTGATAACTAAAAAGGAGAAGACACATGTCACTTTATGGTTGAGTTGAGCCACAATAGAAAGTAAGGAGGGAAGTATAGTGTCATACAAAAAATTGCCCAACAGAATTTTTTTTTATTTTATTTCAATTTGGTACGGATTATTTATAGTTTAAAGAGACTGTAACCCGTTGCTTTAAGCGTGTGTAGGACCAGCAAATACAAATCAAATAATAACATCGTACAAATTATTGTGAAAACAGAAAGATAATACATACTCGTTATAGGGGACGAAACTTTGAACACGTGAATAAAAGAAATAAACTGAAAAACGATGTCCAGCCCTGAAACCGTAGACCTCCCCGTTCCCCAATAGAGAAGCTCAAACAGATGTTATTAGCGAGGGTGAAGGGTGTAGTATGTCTGTAAGAAAGTGAGGATGAAAAGGCAACACGCTGCAATGAATGATATCAAACTCCATGCTGTAGAGAAGTAAGTGCGATAAAGGGACTTGAAAAATGGGCGAAACCTGAACTTACTGCCATAAGCATTCACGGTGTTGCACAACCCACCAAAACAGAAGTTCTTCACAACAATTTCATCTAGAATACTTTTGAACAGAGTCAAATATTCTTCATCTTCAATCCAATTCTGATTGAAGATG